ATGTGCCTGAAAATATATGATCAAAAGTATTATATTATAATGTTGGGGATTTTTTTATATCGAAAGTTCGTTATCAGAGGTAACATAATAACTGTTGTTTTTGTTACCTGTGATAACGAAGTTTCGGTATAAAAAGAAGTCCGCAATTTCAAGAACCCTAAAAAAATAAAACTTCAGGCCAATTTTCATGGCATTGGTATTTTTAATCTCTGAAAACTTAACAAAGTAATTAAATACTTTAATTTGATGAGATTATAAGTATTTCTTCCTTAAATAATATTATAATAAAAATTGTTGCAGATAATGTTGAAAATAAACTATTCAATAGAAAAATAATCTTATTTATAATATAATATATTTTAATTTGTCTATAAATGATATTTAGTCGGTGAGTTTTGTTAATACATCTAGTCCAACTACCATAAATTCTTGTATATTGTGCAATTAGTCAATAAAATTATGGTTATACAATCATGCAATTATAACTAATTTAATGTAATTGCAATTTCATTAAATTTAAACTGCAGAGAAACGAAATTCAGTTCGAAATAGCGTCGGAATGCAAATTATTGGATCGAGATAAATTACTTAATTGTGTAAAATAGCATTAGAGATTTGATCGAGATTTATCCTCGTCGAGCAGATTTAATGAGTCAAACATAAAGGAATGTCGTGTGGCGAAAGCACTCTGTACTTAATACAACCAACTAGGACGCAAAATAATTCCTAATTCTCGTTGCCAAACCGGGTGCATTGTCTATTTATTATGGATAAATGAATAAATTTCAAACCGCTCCCACTTTAAAGGCAACCTCATTTTTACCTAGCATCGCATCCTATGCCTCCCCCGCTCATTATTATAAATAAAAGCCGATCGAAATATAGGGCGCAATCGTGACTCCTAAACCAGACAATTTACAATGACAATAAATAAATATACCCACATTAACCAACTTCTTTATTATACCCACAACATCTGCAAATACACTTAACTCATGATACAAATAAAATTAAAATAAAATAACTTGATTCCGATCGTAACTAACGTCCCCTCTTGCTCTCTATCTCAAGTTGTTCAGATTCTGAAGGTGTGGGTCTTTCGCACAGAAAATGCTTATGAAACTGATACCATTTCGGAATCGAATTTATCGGAAGATTAAGAGCTTCGATACGGCGCAATTTTCCAACCAGCTCGGTAACCTCTCACCTTCGTACCGCTCCAACAACGTGACTGAAACATATCTTTCTGCACAATACACGCCAACTTGCATCTCTTATTTTCGTTATTGGTTTTCGTTGCTTCTATAAAAAGCACGAAATACATACAATCTAGGATTTGCTGCGGGAGTTGCGTAATGCCCGTGATTCATGGAAATTGTATAGATATCAAGGACTCCTCCGCATCAGAATTCCTCTCATTACGGAAGAACTAACGAAAGTGTTTAAAAATGCAATTGGAATACTGCAATGCCAATATAAAAAAACACATTATTGAGAATTGCGGATTCATGCAATTTAGCTAAGGTCATTCCGAGCTCAGGGCAATTAAACTTAAAGAAACAATTGTATTATTTTTTTATTTATTGCCGTTAGCGATTTTAATACAACTTTAAAAAGTAATAGAAACCATGAGAACAGTCAGAAGACTACAGCAGAAGATCATAACAGAATGATAGTATAGGAGACAATCTTTTATGCACAATTTAAATTAAAATTTATTTTTATTATTATACAAAAATATAAGCAAAAATATATTTTGTATTAATCCATTTAATTTCAATTATCCTTTAAGTATTTGCATATATTTTTTTACAAAGCAATCTATCTACAATCATAAAAAAAAAACAGATAACATGCTCTAATTCTGGGCTTAATAATGAAAAAAATTAACGTATAGGGAGTTATTTCTTTTAACACTTATGGCTTAATAATAACATTTAATTAGAAATTAGAAAACTAAGCTCTTATCCTAACAAGGGTTTCTAAATCTTCTACTGAAAACCTATCATCTTCTGCATTTACTAAATGAATATCATTTTCATTCACATTTTCTAAACCTATCGATATTGAACATTATTTTGAACAATACTTGAAATCACAAACTTTGTTATAACAGTGTTATGAAAGGTAACGCTAATCGAGGTATACTTTAGTCACACTCAGAATATTTATATAAAGATTTCCGCATTGGTTTTGACAATATTTATAAAAGATTTTAAAATTTTATTTGGAGATGATATTTTTTGCAGCTTTTGGAAAGTTTTAGATGTAATTTCAGTAAATTGCAGAGATTAAATAATATGAATATTAATTACTACAGCTATGAATTATCTTTATCTTTACTCTTATTATATTTAATAAAATGTGATATTAATAATAATGATTATAAATCTGTACTCAGAAATAAAATAATTTGAAATATAAATATTATATGATAAATGAAATAATTGAATTACTCTGGACAAAAAATATATTAATTTTATGAATAAAGTGAAAGATTAAAAACAAATATCAACAGCAAATGCAATTAATTCCAGTATCATTTAATTAAGCAGTATAAAACTAATAATGTATATTGTGAACACACGACTATCGACGTTGACGTAAGCAGTGCGTTTAATAACGTTATTAACTGCGTTATTTCTGCAGATGCAAAAGAAGATTGTCAATGCAAATGAAGCGGATGAACTTTATTTTCCTTCTAATTGGAATGCGAGTTTTTCTGCTGCTCGTTTTCTCTCATCTTCTGCTACTTATTCTTATTTTTTTTTGCAATGTTGCATCTTCTTCTCAACTACCTTATTTTTTTCTGCCTTTTTGCATTGCATTTGAATGTTGCGGTTTTGCTTAACCGCACTGCGCAGCGATTCATTCTGATCTCGTTACTGGGCAACGGTGACCTTTCCAATGCACAATTGACATTAGAACTAACTATAGGGAAAATCGATATATTTTAGTACTACGTGATTATTGTATTAATACAGAATATTCCAATTATGTAAACACTAAATATTTTTCAATAAAACGTATATAGTAATTGAAACTATAATAGTAGAAAACATTTCTCATTAACCGAGTCGATCAATTCATTATCCGAACATGAATTTATCCAAACATAGAAATCTTTTGCGAATGTGTTTGTTAACCGATGAACAAAGTAATAGCTTGCATAATGCGGGTGATTTTAATAATTCAGGAATAATTTTGTGTACTATTTTTTTAGAGCTTATTTTTATTTTTTCAATTAAAATTTAGTTTGTCTTTAAGTTTTCTAAAGTAGTATATTTAATTCGCACTGATAGAAGTTGCATCTAAATATTAGTAAATAATATCAATATTTATATTTATGCAAGAGTTACGATTATTACTTATTTGACATACAAACTTTGTTTATTAATTGACAACAATTTAAAATAATAATAAACATTAGAAAAACGTGTTTTTGTAAAAATATATAATAGTGCATATGGTAAAAACCCATATAATCTCACAAATATCCTTGACATTAAAATGTAGTAAATGTGTAGTACATAACAAAAATCATCCATGATTTCAATAATCTTTTAATTATAAAAATAATGTTATTTATAAATTATTTTGGATAAATATATTAAAAGTATATTTAAAACACAGTTGAAATAACAACATTTGTATATAATGTAAATCATTAATAAAATAGTAAATAGTGATTTGTGTGTTTGGACAAACCCATGTTCGGATAATGAGTTCCCACCGATCGGTTAACGAACATATTAGATTGTCGTTTCACGGATTATATTCGTTAACTGATCTTCCACTGTATTACTTTGAAAATCTAATGTTTACTCTTATATTAAATGTAGAAATGTATTCTACTTAATCTCTTGTTAATCACCTATCCAACAATTTCAACACACTTTTCTAATTTCTTAATATTATATTCCCCGAGAATAAATATGTGGTAAATAAAAACGAAATATATTGTTAAAAAACTTCAAATTTTCATGCATATACAAATGATGAGCAGGGGTTAATTCTAACTAACACTGTTAGTTGAGATTTTTTATATCCATAGCTAAAATAGAATATAATTTGAAGAAAATCAATTATATATTTTTTTTTATTTGATTTTAAAATTATTGCTTGGATTACTTTTTCAAAGCATTAAAATATTCAAGATCCAATAATGAAACATTTCTATATCAAACAATCTAGAAACAAAAAACATGTTTGATGATATTATCGTTTTATACTTAAAATATTGGAATTTAAACTCTCAAAGAACAGGCAAACTTTTACAAACACTTTGTTTATATTACAGATTTATATGTTTTTTGTAAAAATAAATACATTTATTAATTAATAGACAGAAGGTAAATTTCATCCTAATTCAATTTATTAGTTAGATATACATATTGACTTAATATATGTTCCAAATCCAATAATTGTTTTAATGTATTAATATATATACAATTATATAAAACAACTAATCAAATTATATCAAAAATACCGAATTAGTATGTTCAATTGAGTAATCATAAATTTAAGAATTACGTAATCCATATTCATATAATTTGGTATAATCCATTATAAAAATATATATTTTTTTAATACGGAAATAATAAATATTATTATTTATTTAATTAAGCAAAAGTAAAATAATTCAAATTGCAAATTGTATATAATTTATTTATTATATATTCTTGTTAGGTAAATAAAGACTAGTGTAGAAAACAATAACAAATTTTGAATACTAAATAGATTAAAATAAAAAACATAACAAATTTCTTCAACTATAATAAGTAATTATTCTCTTATAGATTATACGCTTTCATTAATAAACTAAAAGTACTTCATCTTATATGAATTAAGCAACAGATACAAATGAAACATGATTGTGCTAATGATAAACTATTACCACTAATTATTCAATCGATAACGAATAAAGCATCGCTTAGGCATTTATAATAAATACAAAGCTAGGTAAGAATGTATAAATTATTATAAATTAAAATTGCGGCAATCTTACTAAATACTTTAACGATTACAGTTGTAAATACTATAAGTAGTAGTGTTTTGTGTATAACAATCCGTAATTGTGACATATGAATTAAATTAAATGTTGTTAGTTATTTTGGTATGGATTATTGGTATTCGTAATGTTGTTGCTGCTGTTGAGATTCTTCCTGGCGTTTGATTGGTGCCGATTTGTGGACGACGGCATTGAAACCGCTGTGTTTGTCAGCTGTGTAGTCGACGGTGCGGATGGTACCATCTGGTTCAACCACGGAGTAACTGCCCTTGACGACATCACCATCTCTGGATTCCTGCTGCGATTTGATATCGCCGGTGTGGTAATCGTTCACTCCATATTTATATACGTATTTTGGTGGTGCCTAAAATATTAAAATGTTTTTATAAAAAGTATTATACAAAAAAAATATATTTAATCAAATATAAATTATTTAGTCATGCTTATAGAAGAATAACAAACAATGGAATTTAAAATACTTTAGAAATGTTGGTTGCCTACTTGAACTTATAGAATTATTAAATATGAATAGTACGATCTATTTGCGAATTAGTTTCCTTTTAAATTGTATAACCATCATCTTGATATTTAATGCATTAATACACAATGTCCGTTTTACTAGAATCCTAATTTTGTCCAAATGAAATACCTCTTATACATTGCGTATCTTTCGTAATTCATCAAATTATGTTGTTTTTTGAATTATTCATTTGAAAGATTTTACATTTTTCTTGGAATATGTATGTATCTTCTACTAGACGAGAGTCTTTTGGTAAGATCTTCTATCCAAATTCAATCCCGGCACACTTTTTAAAATTACGTATTTATTTCCTGACGGGTAATCGGACTGCCGAACTGTTTGAGGACCTTAAAACGGCATAAAAATAAACAGCACAAAAAGAAACTTTTAATTTATACAGGAAAAAGCCGATAGTTTATGCATAAAAATATATTTGTGTACTATTTTCTTCGATTTTTTATCTATTTTGCTCAATTACAATTGCGTTTATTTTGAAATTTTCAAGTTAATCCGCATTGATCAAAGTCGCACTATGCGAAGTATTACTGTATTACTTTTGTAAAACAAACAATATTAATTATTATTAGTAGTACAGTTGTAAATAATGAAAATCTAAAGGTAAGTCTGTATTTAAATGAAATAAACACAGAGACTTCTCTATACAAAAGAAGATGAAAAACGATCATTTATGTATACAAAAATATTTTGTGTACTAGTTCTTGAGAATTTAGTTTATTTTGAAATTTCTAAAAAGTACTATAATATTGCTGTATACGATTTATAATCATACTTATATTCATTATTATTACTTTATTAGATTGTATTGTATATTGTTATTGCCTTATTTATTTCATAATTTATGATGAGCCAACATAAAAAGTATTTCAATATGTGATAATTATAAATTTTAAAAGTTTGAGGAAAGAAATAATTAACATCGAATAAACTGAAATTTTTAGATAAATATAACTTTTGCTCTAGTTAAAAAGAAATACAAATTCTATTAATGAAAGTAAATTCTTTTCATAACATACACAAAAAAAAAATATTGTTACTTGATATTTTTTTATTAACATTTTTATTAAACAAATGTACTTACATAATAATCTACGTGATGATCATATTCTATTCCTTTGCTTTCAGCTTCAGTTTCTTGCTGTCCCGCATCGTTTTCCTCATAAGCAACTTCCTGTTGCTCTTCGTGCTGTGGATATTGAACCAAAGGCGATGCGAATGCAGCATTGACAATGACCAAACTCACGAGCGCAAACTGTAATAAATATTAATATATAAAATATTTGCAAAGAACTTTTTGCTAAAACTTATAAAAAAATGTAATATAATACGAGTTCATTGAACATTACGAGATATAACAAGTTTTATATAAATATCATATATTTCTTAGGCTTTCTTCACCAATAGATAATTTATTACATTAATTAAATATTAATTGAATTTATTATACTAAAATGTTGATTACTGGCAGTTAACAATAGTAATATTACTTAATAAACATATAGTTACAAGTAAATTCTGTTATTTTGTAATGTTGTATTTCGACTTAAAAATAATATCCTAACTAGAGTTTGTCGGTTTTTTAAAACTCTGTTTAGAAAAGCCGTTTTTTAAGAAGAAGAAATGTATATGATCCGAAAGCTGGTTTTATCCAACTTGAAAACAGGTTTCCACCAATATCTAGCACTGTTTGAAACCAGACTAATCGAAAATTTTAAAACGGCATAAAAATATACAGCATTAAAAGAGACTTGAAAGTATACAGGGAAAAGCCGATAAAAACATATTTGTGTACTATTTTTTAGAATTTATTTCACACTTCATTTCAAATTGCGATTGTTTAACAATTGTCAAATCGTACTATAATACATCTTCATTGATCGAAGCCGCACTACGCTAGGAATTTTTGTATTACTTTTGTATCTATGTGTCTGTTAGAAAAAAATCTTAATTATTATTACTAGTTCAGTTATAAATAATGAAAATCTAAAGGTAAGTCTATATTTAAATGAAATTCGAAATAAAACGTTTCTTATTATGTATATGTAATTCAAAGTTTTTATAGTTATACTGAGTAGTAATTATTAAATAATTATAAACTTGCTTTTATCTTTCGTAATCTATATTTATCTGCGTTTATGACTCATTGTTTATGATTATGTTAATGAAACGAAAGCGGCTTTAATCGACGATGTGTATACCGTGAATTCTCTCGAATGAAAGCGAAGATGAAAGTGATATTAAAACTGGCAGAGATTGCTTCCGTGAATGCAAAATAACACAGCTGATACAATCTATAGCATCCATACCTATCAGATATCAAGGTGATACTGGACACATCATATTTCATTTAATATCTATGTATAAAGTACTACAAACGTTATATTTTAATTCATAACAATATATAAGTTACAAATAGCTTTTTGTAAAAGTTATTTTTTTCGGAGATAGAAGCCGTAATAAGCGCAATTTACTTACATATTTACTATATTCTAATGTTGAACACTTTTTCGTTCAAAGCTAATTATTTATTAGTGCAATTCTAAGCGCCGAATAGAGCTCGTACTATACGTATATATATTAGCTTGTGTTTTATAGAAAATTATTCATAATTATTTGTCCATTTCAATGGTAACGTTGAACAATTTATTACGCTTTATATTCAATTAAATGACATATCCAAAACTACATTGGTTATTATTTATCAACAATTAAGTAAAATATAAAAAAACATATGAAGAGTAAGTTAGAAAGTATATATCAATATATACATATAAGAAAGTACCTATTTTTTATTAATATATACTGAACAAGAGGAAAGTAAAAATTGCAAAAGAAAACTAATTAGCAGCAATATTTACATTTATTAGATTATTAATCTTGTTATTAACCTTGCTATTTTTCAATTGAATTTCCTGTGTGGACATTTTTTAAGCTCTTAAATATAGTCTATTAACATTTAAATTAATAAATATAAGGCAATTTTTTTTAATCATATAAAGGGAGATACTTTGGCTAAACTTGTGGCCAAAATATATGTTTAAATAAATAAAAGTAGTTTATTAATATTTATCAATGCTAAATCTTCCAGTCACTATTTAATTTTGCAATTTGAGGGTCAACATTTCTCATATGCACTAGACACAATGTCTAAAGCAGAGGTCGCCAACCTTTTTGACCTAACGGACTACAAAACTCAATATTTAAAATCTCGCAGACTACTTAAAAATACAAGAATATTAAGTTTGAGCCTTTTTCGATACTGTCTAAATAAATTTATAATATTTATAATCCTCAAGAATTTTATTTTTACTCCACTTGGAGTAGTTGAAACTGAACCGCTCATATCAATTACTAAATTTATCTTAAAAGTACTTTATAAGAATAAAACTTCAACAAATAGTTTTGGATATAACAATGATAAGATGACTTGTTTTTCCTGGAAAACAAAAATAATTTTAAAACTTTGTTACCTGAACATGTTTAAACTAAAAAAAAATATATTTTCCTTTAAACACATTAAAACTAGGTTGCCTATAAATTTTTATTAAATTTCAGCAATACTTTCAATAAAAAAAAAGATGTACTTTACCCTCAGACTATTTTAAACTTAAATCGGATAATAGGTCAATTATAGTGATATTCTAATTTCAGATTACAAAAACACAAGCAATATTATTTTACAAATTTAATTTGCATACAATTTTTCAAGTGACAAATATTATTTGAATTTAGGGTTATACTCACTACAATATAGAAATTACTTTAAAGTACCAATAGGTATTTAGGTCTATTTCATATCTCTGTATATAATCTAAATATCTATTAAACGTGTTTTGATTGTTGCTCAATTATTGTTCTTGCAATATTCTTACAAGACTAATATAATTAGAATATATTCCTTGATTTCTTAAAAAATATATATTTTTAATATAAACATGATAAACAACAATGTCTTCAATTTATATGTAATATAATTAATGCTCAATTAATGCCTCAAAAAAATATCTCCAATTGTAACAAATAATTCAATTATGTACTATTATTAATATGCACAAATAAACTAGTTAAAAAAAGATAAAATGAGCAAAAGAACTATTATTATGTAAGTACTAGAGCTAATTATCATTACCTTAAAGAAAGCCATGTTCGTACAGATTTCTATTTGGAATTGATTATCGGAAACACTGGATCGATTTGGTAATGCCAATCTTCCTTCCTATTTGTGTCGTTTTATTTATTTTATTTTTTACTTTATTATGTTTTCTCTCCTGTTCTGGTATAAACTGGTAGAACAGCAACAATAACTGAATGAGGAGAAATTTCCGCGATTGCTTTATATATGCTTTCTTAGTTCCCATCCCGATGAGACGGCTTTATGTAAGCCGGATGCAGTGGACGGAGAGGGCGATGAAAGTATTGCAACGAAAAGTGGTCAGGTGGTGTGGATGCGGATTAGAGAAATGTTTCTACCACAATTTTCAACCATATACATCTGTGCCAAACGGCACTTGATCTAGGATCAGCAATCCTGTAGGGCGTCCACTCCATTTCGTATTCAACGCCATCCATCAAATGGACTAAATTTATTAGTCGAACGAACATATACGCTACATATACTTCCGACATCGCTGTTTATGGCAAATTCACGCAAATTTCCACTTAAAGAAAGTTTTTTTAGTTCAAAGTTAAGCCGTTTCATTTGAATAATATAGCACATGAATCTAATGGTTTATGATTTATAGCAATGGAAATTATTATATGGTTAGCATTAAAATTATTTCGATTATTAAATACAATGCGTTTTGTTATTTTATTGTAATATTTCTATTCTACATCAAATTATATAAATGAATAGGTAATACGAAATTATTTTATATAATCAATATATTTCATTAAAATTATGATATTAGAATATCAAAGATTATATAAATCATTCTATTATTTGGAACTAACATGAAATAGTATTAAAATTTCAATGAACTTGGTAAATGCGTTAACAGGAAGTATTTGAAACAACTTCACTCACTACAGGTATTTTTTACTAAGAGATTATATTTTCTTGCGTATTTTATATTGCTGATTGTTACAGTATAGTCAGTAGTTTTTATTTGACGACTTTGTCAGTATGAAATGCTTTTTCTATTATCAGAATGAGAAGATCAATCTAAACCAGTGGTCCCAAACTTATTTGGGCTACAGCCCTCTTTTCAGAAAAAATATTACTCAGTGCCCCTTGGAAATTATTATTTCTTTAATTTCAATAGCAATTAAACAGAAAGATATGCTCTCAGCGGGGGGGCAAAATATGTACTGTGTATGGAGAAGATGCCGTCAATAAACTTAGACCGTTGAAGGTTTCTGATGACCATTTTTACAAAGTAGATTATTTAGAACAATTGTCATTTATTTGTATTTTCGCCAAATTCAGTAAATGAAAAAGTTTTTTGGAGACATTCAAATTTACTTTGAGAACTTTTTTTGTTAAAAAAAAACTGGCGAAAACTTGGATATAATTTTGACCTATAAATATGTTAAATAAATAATAGTTATCAGTGTTATCATTTGATAGATTTTTTGAAGATAGAAAAACGAAATCATTCATACATTAAATACAACTCATTTTAAATTATTAAAATCATCCACATATGCATTATTTTACTTCCTGATATTTTAATTATAAAGGAGTAAAGATTCGATGTTATTAGACAAGAAAGTAGATAAGCGGCTCATTAATAAGAAAATAAGAAATAATGAATCGATATTATATACTTATATTATTAAATGAGTCATTGAAATCGATTGAGCAAACCGTACAAAAAGAAATTTAGTTAAATCAGATCTCACATAAGCTTATTAGGAATGGGTTTTTCTCTTTTCAATTTGGCGAAAGTGATTTTGGACTGAATCCAAGTCAGGAAATGTGTGTCCAATTTTAAATTGCACTTTCAATTTCAGTTACCTCGCGTATTTTTTTTATTATTATTTTGTTGTCCATCGACCTTTTCTATCTTCTCATAAACCATACACATACATTTCATTCTGAGTAAAAAAAAATGAAATATGAAAGCACACGCGTTCCGAATGCCAAAAGATGGTCTCAACGTATTACATACATTCAATGTGCAAATTTGCAAAGCAGTGAATCCCCTTTAACATTGACTTTCTGTAGTGTAATTAACGATGAACATATGGTTGCACATCTGCTTCTTTATACATAAAAAAATGCATAATGACCATAATGTTTGTGGAAAGTGAAATTTCAACGTTTAGAAATTTGTTTCGATTTTAAATTATCGATATTTCTTCATCGTTATTTTCGAAGTATCATTTTTTAAGTTTAGTCCGGGTAATCGATTTCCGGACTATTTAAAACCATACTAATCAAGGAACTATTGACAAAAAAAAACAAAGAAAAATAATTGAATATATAAATGGGAACGAAACAATCAATTTTGTTCAATAAAATATAATTTGTATTGAAATTTGAATTGATCAAAATTGAACTATGCAAATTATTTCTGTACTCTATTCAATATTCTTTTTGTGAATGAAGGAAACTTGAATGTCCGGGAAAAACGTTTTAGGAATTATGAACAAGTGAGTAAAACATTCGTAACGGTGTTCGTAACAATCGAGGCTGCGGGTTTTCTTCCTCTTTTAGAATGAAAACAATCGTTGTTCTGATCTGTATCTGTATGTGATTAATAATTCATTTCCCTACAGTGTGTTTATCTCCTAGTGGAAATAAACTCGAGTGAAAAAGAAGCACGAAAGATGCAAATTTCACGTACATTAAACATAATGTGTATGTAAATTTTAGCAGAATATTACTTTTAATTATACTTCACTTGTATACGGTAATAAGTAGCTACAATTAAGCTAAATTAAGAAGAATTTAAATGATTTTACACTTACAGTTTTTATCTGCATAACACATATGAGTTCTTACTGTATATGATATTTCTAGAGATATGTTATTTCCTAAGAGATATTTCTTTCATAAATTTTTACAGAAAATTTCATATGTAAGGAACACAATCTTAGTTATATTTTATACTGATAAATACGAATCAAATTTAGTGACAGTTTAACAAAGCAACGTTGATGCAAGTTATTCAAAGCAATAAGATTCTGAAAAAAATAAATTATTATTACTCCAACTTTGAACAAATAAACCATAGTTTTCTAACGAAAAATGATTTCAATGTAGAATTCACTTAATTACTGAAATATACTTAAAGATCGTGGTTTCCTAATATATTTACAATTATTTTTATCTTCTAGATGTAAATTAAACTTATATTAGACGTTCAGAATACAACAAACTCATATATAGTAAAATATAAATTATTATGAATTTTTTAGATCAATTTTATATATATTTCTTGTTTCTTTTTAAGAAAGTTTGAAAATTCAATCTCAATTTAATTTAATAGATTATATTTTGAAAAACGATAAAATCTTCAAATTATTCATATTTCTTAATTTCAATACAAATTAAATATTATACGAGATGGTAATTTTCTAATAATTTAAATTGTATAACAATTTATTATAAAAATTACTAGTAATATTTATTTTATAAATGGTTTATTGGTTATTTTTTATCGATTGACGTTCACTATTAAACAAATATGAACCTGTCATATACATTTTATTTGTCTTGTTTTGAGTGAATAATTGTCAAAATTGTTATCTGTTCGTACATATATAATAAAAAAAGTAAACATGGCAGCAGCAGCAACAGAAGATATCGATTCAATGTACAATTGCAACATCTGTAATCGCATTTTCCAATTGCAATATATGTACGCTTGCTACCACGGCCATTACCTGTGCAGAAAATGCTACAAACGCGTTTACTATAAAGGTCTCAACAGCCTCAACAATAATTCAAGTTCAACTAGGAATAATAATGTTCGCAGGGAAAGAGAAGAAATGTCCGCACGGCAGTTGCAACGCTATGATGATGAGAAATAGAGAAGTGGAAGACAGCGGAGGAGAACCAATCGAGCGATCAAAGTTAATGTTCCCAAATCCTAGTATTTACATGAAGCACAGCAACTACGTGAACAAATCCTTGTTAAGCTTGGCCACGATCTACAAGCCAAGTATCTTTAATTTAGGCTCTAAAAAGTATTATACAAATAATTGCAAGAGTTCACCATAACCTATAAATTCGTAGGCCCATCCAATGCCCACATCACGACTGCAATAAAACAATAGCGGTTTCTTCTCTGGACTCGCATTTCGAGCACGACCACAAACGCGTAGCTTCGATAATCACGGAACTGGAGGTGCGGAACGGGCTGGAATTCAATTTCAGGGATTTATACAGCAACGTCAGAGCCCTGTGCTTGGTTCTCATCAATCTCGACGACAAATCAGACGGACCCCTGTAAATTAATTACGGTATTCTATAAATGCGAACAAAAGTAATGATGGCATTTGTCGTGTAGGGATTTGGAGATTTTGCCGGCAACACCTGAGGAACACGAAATGCGAGCTGAAAGGTAAATCGATTAATTACTTAGTTTCGCTTGAGTTGCTTAAAGTTACTGGGATTTCCGGTATTGCGAATGCTATGTAGTTTCAGATCGTACAGCAGCAAAATGTCGCAGCCGATGACCATTCCGAAGCCGTTTTTTATCGTGATGGCTGCCAAAGTGACGGCTAACGATTACACCGAAGACGACGAGGAAGAGGAGCCCGATTACGGCTTCTCTCCTATAGATCGCATCATATTTTACGTGACTTCAAATATTGCTACTAATTACAGCTATACAATAGCCGTATCGACATCGGATCAGTCGATACGGGTGAAGTATTACGGACCTCTGCTTACCATGAACGAGAATTATAAGAAATTGTGCGCCGAGGGGAAAGGCTTGATCTTGAACAACAAGCAGGTTGATGGCATGGGATCATGCGGTAATAGGAACGTTTCTTTGGACGTTATTATTCACGAACGAGGCATGGATAGCTACGACTCAGATTAACGTGATGACCGTTGCTATGGCTTATAGATATATATTTTAGATAAAAATAAATACAATAAATTACATTTTTTCTTAATAAATAGTAATATGAATATATGGCACTGTATGGCAGCCGGTGGATTAGTATAGTGGCGTGTAGTAGAATTGGTAGTACTGATTTGGTACAGGAACCGCAGCCCTCGCCAAATTGTTGCTGACCACGTAGTTCTCCTCTTTGTTATTGAAGGTAGCTCGGTTCAGATTTGTGCGATCGACGTAATTAGGTTGCACATACTTCCTCGTGTCCTCCCCTTTCACCTGAGCATCTGCAATTTCTTGCTCGACGTTCACTTTGATCGGCTTCAGGTCACCTCTCGATCTCGTTTCAACTGTTGCTCTGCAATCGGAATGGAAGAAGAACATAAATGTAGAAAGAGTGTGTGTGCATCTGTTTGCATTGTTGCGAGTTGTTGTGACTCGGATTGTTCACTGACCTGTAACCTAGAGCGTCTGCGATGTAATTAACTATGTTCACGTTGCCGTCGGGCGTAACGTAGCCGTAGCTTCCTCGCACCGTCCCATTGGGATGCCTTTCCTCGTGTCGGAATTGCACGTTGTCGGTTTCTGGGTCTTCGATGTCGTATCCGAACGCATAACTTCCTGGGCCCTCCGGCTCCGGCTCGTAGTAATTCTCCCAATCCGCCAAGCTCAAACGACCCGCGGGACCCTTGCTACGGCCCTCCGGGTATGCACTCGGCATACTCCTTGACGGCGCTGCCCAAACAACCATGCTCAACAGCAACACAACCTAAATCAAAGTCATCACATTACTAAACTTGTTTCCTATTATAAATTAAATTTAAGGATCCCACAGAACAACTTTTATACACTGAAGCAGAGTAATATATGTGAACGTTGGCCTGTGTATTGCTCGATCATATTAAAGATCACCTAGAAAATCATTCAACTAAATCCTTTTATATTCATTGAATTAATTATATTACTTGTTTAGCCAAATTATATTCCATGATTTGGCTAAACAAGTATTTATCCTAAATAAATGAACGAAGAAAATCTAAATAGTTAATAATATTATATTTGGCATAATAATATAATAATTTTATTTATGAGTAAATCATTTATATAGTATAGATAAACATGTTTGAGCATAGTATGTTGCTGGATTTAATACCGTACAGTGTGCCGTGAGGTACAAAATTATTGATGTATTTATAGTGTACATTAAAAATGAAATATAAATTGAAATACGAATAATTATTTAATAAACGTCATATATAGTCTCTTATTATATTAAATATGAATGGGTATTGTGTAATTAAAATTAATTTGTCATTGTTTTATTACAAATTGTTGAGAAAGTTGTTAATGAATTACTATGAACGAAGTTTTTCTTAGAAAAATTATAATTAAAAAAGAATACATTTACAATAATTGCAGAAAAGAAACTAACAATTACTGACAATATTAAATAATTATCTGCATAACAACTTGAATTGTTAAGCTTTCACTTACTGCTACTTTTTTTCAATTTTAAGAACTTATTATTATATCTAAAACAATCGTGCAATTCACAATATTCTGCAAATATTTGTCACTTTTGGTTAATTAATCATTAATATAAATGTATAGATCAAACTTTGAAGGTGGTTGACCTACTATTACCGTTGAAGCATTTCCCATTTTTGCAGTCAATACACTTTTAATTACAACAATAAATACGTTCCCACTCGAACCTACGCATTTCGTACCAGAAATCCGCAGTTTCCATAATCTGAATTTGAAATGATTTTGTTCGCCAAATTATAAATTCGACAATAACTTAACTTAACCAAAATATTTAGAATATTGATTCATGCTATTAAATTAATATATTTAAATTATATATTATGTTATTTTTATACCTTTTATAAGTACCACCATAAAAAAATATGTTTTATATCAAATTAATTACAAATTTATTACTCTCATTAATGATATCAATCGAGGTTCGTTGCTGCACATGTATTATTATAAAACATCTTTCCAGCGCATTCGGATCTTCAGTAGATTAGTTCCATGGTATTATTATTATGCAACATCTTAACGATGCATCTAATATTACTAATTTAGATTTAATGCATTTTAAAACGCCCATTAAAAAAACAAATAGAGTGGATTCGTTCGTCTGTTGAAGATCGCGTAAAAAATCACTTATGCCGCATCTTATCGATTTTGTGCAATCTGTTGTAAAACATTATGTAAATTAACCGTAAAAAAAGAATATTGCATGATATTTAATGGCTTTAAATTAATGTTAGACATCTTTATTTCTTATGAAGTAAGCGTATTTCGCTATAATTGTTCTTTGATTGGGTAATAATTAAAGTCTATCTATGAAGCAAATAATAATAAATATACATAATTAATAATGACATATAATAAATTATCTCATTTTTAAATAAACTATGGAAAGTAAAGTAATTAATTGTATATATAAATGCTTATAATTTTAATAAATTAAAACAATTGCAATTGTCATACAAAAAACATAAAATAAACAAAAGTACACAATTACTTTATAATTCCAATGATAAAAAAATATGATTTTCTGCTAATTTTAAAATTTAATAGTTTTTATAAAGTATATATGGACAATAAGAAATAAATATTTAATTACATTATTTAGATACATACTATAGAATTCATGTTGTTGAACATTTTTCAATGAGGATATACACTCTTAGAGCTCAAAGTGTACTGGTAATATATAGAAAACTTCACGTATTACCTGCTTCGTATACTCCAATAACCGGATATTCGAGGAGTATCCTCGGAAATTTGGAATCAACCATAAATGAGATCACGCAAGATAACTTTACAAATTTAATTTTGTTACTTTTTTTATATATATATATAAAATTAAATACATGAATATACATTTCTGGTGTATTTCATATTGATGACGCTCCTCTTCTGTAGTTCTTTTTGTAATCACAGGCAGTGGCGGACTAAATATAGTTGGGGCCCATAAGCAAATTATTTTGACTTTAGTAATTTTTTTTTTGCTTAGCCTTAGCTTAGTGATTTGTTTATGTAGTAACAATTTATATAGTTGAAGTAGTTTTTTTTTTATTTTTGATTATATCTGATTCTTTTCTTATATAACCTAGTGTCTTAATATATTCTATAATGCCGTACAATAGTATACCATGATACAAATATACAAGGTACACCAGAGAATATATTAACAGTCACCAAGGCACCAAATGAGACAAGTGCAAAATCTTGAGGTTAAGAAAATGAAATATTAAAATATGTACTATTCAGAACATATGCTTATCTTTGGTAATAATTCAATAAGTCATGATATGATATAATACATAATATCAATGATGTTTATCTTGGTATATGAACATTTAGTAGTGTAGATACCAAGATAGACTAGAGTCACATACATAATGTTCTGGCTATTTGCCTACTCGACAACACTGAAACCACAAACAGGCTGAAGCATTGCAAACCACTAGATTTAGTATATACATTTAAGTAATTAATGTTCAAAATCATCATAATGGTAACTATCCAAATAAATTTACTCAATGTTCACATTGATGAACATATTGTGAATAAAATTATTACGACATAAAAAAATCTTGGTATTTGATACTTAATGTTTGTCAAAAATTTAACGGATGTAGGATGTACCTCGTATAATTGTATCATGCGAGTATAATACTATTCAGAATATTTTTTTGACCTGACATCACTTATTCTTCTGGTATGGGTGTCAATATTAATATATAAATTTAGTTGATTTAATTGTTTTATATGAGTAATATATAAGTATAAATATGTTGCTTTTTATGGATATTTTGAGTCCTCATGTCCTGTATATACTTGACAAATTTGTTTCTAAACATTATTATTTTGTAGTTTTGTTTCTTAGCATCTATTACTACAACTCCACCATTATAAATTGTTATTAGCCGCCACTGGTGAAACATTCTATCATGAAGCAGTTATAAGTAAAGAAAATAGTTTTTTTTTTACAAATTTTTTATGATTTTGATATTATCCATAATTAAAATATAAAACTAATATGTTGGTCCATAAAACTTCATTCTTCAAAGAAAAAAATATATAATAACTATATATTACCACAATAATTATATTATTATTTTTTTATTATGTTCACCTTATGTATCACATTATTTTATTGTAAAAAAAACAATGTTCAATAAGAATATGCCTATTGTTCGAAGACTATTATTTTGTATCGTATAAAATATCATTGTTAATATAAACAACTAGTTTCAAGAATGATTTATTACAAATTTATTTTTATACGGTAATATTCATTCATGTTAATAAATACGTTTCAGTTTTTTCTTTATTATTATATTCACTATGAAACTAATTAAAGTCGCATAAAACTTAACGAACAGACTTATACTGTACTAATAACCATTAGAAATCTTGAGATGTGCAGGAAATCTAATTATCATAACAATTAGAACGCCTAATTTGAGCCTGCTTTAATATCGTTCTTTTAATACGTTTCCATTCGTTCAACTTTATTTATCATCATTATCATTCAAGACGACCCACGTCCGAACAATATAATTATCATCTTCCTATACCAATAAAAAGGCATCAATTTAGTTATTAAATACAGATTAATAGCAATGGAACGTATTATTCGATAATTACATTAACAGTTACTGGTTCTCCAATAAATTATCCATCCTCGAGTCTGTTCGAGCATTCGTGAACATTTCGGTAGCGCGAATAAATAGCGTTTTTTCACTTGTAAGAAATAAATTTCACGGCATTTTAACATGGTCCTTTTATAGGCAAGGCAATAAATTTCGAAACAACTCTCGGCGACGATTAAATTACTATAAATATTTCGAGAAGAGCTAGAAAATAAGGAGGAAAAAGGAACCGGCGTAGGTGGATTATTCAAATCACACGTCCGACCATTATATTTTAATTTGCCACTTTTATTGTCGCTCGATTAATTTATGTGCACCGTAATTACCATTTAAAATAAATTTTAATTGAAATCATTAGAAAATGTCGCCGTTTCAACAATTTAGATGTCTGTGTCAAAATATTGGTTATAAATTCATATATTTATTATCCGTATTATTGCTTGTTTTACATATTTTCCAAAAGTTTATTTACATATAAATATGCTGTATCTAATTTCTATTGCATTTTTCATATAAACTTTTCATTTAAGTAATAAGAGAAGTTTCATCTTATTCGTAAATTCAAGCAAAAAAAAACATAAAATACAGAAAGTGTTAAATAATTCATTTCAACAATATTTATACACAAATACTATAAATAATAGGTAATCAAAATTCATGGAGATGAGTCTTTTATGGTTAAAAAAATCAAAACATGATACTCCAGTATTTTTATTGCTACATCACTTGAAAAACACGTGTGTATCAAATATCAATTCGATACAAAGTTATCCAGATTATTTATTCTTTGGAATGCTTTAACCATTGTTTCCCAAACTGTGGGCTGCGGTGCCCCGGGGCGCCGTGTATGTATTACAAAATTCTGATATATTAATATAAAATTCGCCCTGAGATAAACCAACGTTCTTCTGCCTTCGGGCGCCGAAAAATAATTCTGATATATTAAGGGCGCCGCAAACTGAAAACGTTTGGGAACCCCTGCTTTACATTATTTTATTTATTATTTGTTGTTTACTCAACAATTGATGATATTTTTTGATTATATACAGAAACTTTATTTGAAATCTGTTACTTA